AAAAAAAAAAGCTTGTCTTTAATCAAGCAGCTCCCTAAGTAAGGCATCAACTAAATTCACATGGAAGAAGCACACTAGCCTATGTGATCCAAGATCTGTAAATAATAAAATCCAAATCCAAAGGAGGGAATGGCAGCAGACCGGGGCTCCTGAAGAACTGGCAATGGTACAGCCAGAATGGAGTGAAGGAGCCTGCTGACACACTGTGAGAGATGTAAGCAGGGTCGGTGAATACGTGTGTAGCGATTGTTAAATGAGGAACTGGTTGACTATGTAAATGTTCACCCTAAACAAAGTGAGATCAATTTTCGACATTGCAAATTCAGCAGGTTTGAATTATTCACCAGATCTATTGAGTTTGCTAGCTGGACAGAACCAAGCAAGAGGCAACACATTGACAATAGAAGGAATTTCCAGCACAAAAGGGATGTGGAGGCACTCTTCCCCCAAACCTCCCAGCACAGAGGTAGGTGAGGGGCAGGCAAGAGAGTTTCCTTATTAAAGGAAGAGATGGAACTAGTGACAGGCTATGTTCAGAGAAAGATGAGGTGTGCACACCACCCCCACAAGGGTTGGATTGATCCATGCTTTTGAGGCCTGGGACACGGAAACAGCAGGACATCCAGGTTGCACTTCCCTGGGAAAAGGAGGTACACTGTGGGAACCAGTCAACTGAAGAAGTTCCAGGAAGCTGGACGCTGGTGGGAGGTGCACCATTAGCAAGGAGAAAACCCGACTTTTCATCCCACAGCGACTCGGGATTCACTCTGGGGGCCCTTTGGTGTCTCACATTGAAGTACCTCCCAATAAACTCACTCACTCGTTCCCTGCCAACTCTGGCCTGAGTGCTGTCCCTCATCTGAATACTTCCTTCCTTTCAAAAAGAACGGAGAGAGGAGAGGCTTGAAACCTGGACCTATCTCCTGGTAACAAGTTTCAAAATATTATTATTTTTTTAAATGATAAGAACAACACAATAGTCACATGTTTAAATGATTGGCATTGAGAAAGCATCTACTGATCTTCGCAAAATCCCTGGGAAAATAGTAACCAAGCAAGTAATGCACTCAGGTATCCCTACCCTGAAGTAGCTTGCCCAACATCATGCCAACCAGGAAGGGCAGATTGAAGATACACCTTCATGTTTCTTGGTCTCCTTCTGTTGGGGGGGCGGTTAGGTAGACAGAGGCTGGTGAAGGGAGAAAAGGAGGTGATAGCAGGAGTCTAGCAGAAACTGTAACATGAAGGAAAGTTGGACACATATCCCCTCCCCACACTCATCCCAACCTCTCCAACACTAAGTAGGTGAAGGGCAGATAAACATACAAGGTAGTACCCCAACACCACCCCAAAAACCGGAATTGTGCTGGGCAGAGCGGAGCTTTCCTAGTATACATTTTCCCCATCACTGGGTGGGCATGAAGCAACTCGCACCTAGTGGCATTGCCTGGGAGGGTTCTCTCTGGTCACAAGAAATCTTTCATAAAAGCAGTTTCACTGCTTTTTTGCGATGGCCAATTTAGGATTTTATAGAACATCGTGCAGCTGTGAAATTTTGTTTTCTGCTCTGGAAAAATGCCGCAGAAACTATTGTGATGTTAAACACAGCTTACAAAGATAGCACTATGGGAAAAACTCAAGTATAGGAGTCATTTTCTTATTTCAAAAAAGGTGAAATGTTGATTGATGACAAACCTCATTCTGGACATCCATCAGCTTGCCAAACTGATGAAAACACTGACTGGTAGTACATTTGGAGTTCGTTCCACGAGGTCATATTGTTAGTCACGCTCTCTGTTTACAGGTTCTGATGAGATTGTGTACAGTGTGTGATCAAAAAAAGGCCTGATTTGTGGCAGATGGGTGGCTGGTTTTGCCACCAGGACAATTCAGCTGCTCATGCAGCCATCTCAGTGGGTCAGTTTTGGGCAAAAAACAGCATGCCTCTCTTGCCCCACGCACCCGACTCACCTGACCTTGCTCTTTGCTACTTCCGTTTGTTTCCTCAAATGCGGGGGGAACATGAAAGGACAGTGATTTGACGACATAGAAGAGGTGAAGAAAAAAAACCAAGGGAAGTGCTGTCAGCCATCCAAACAGATGAATTTGGAAAATGTTTCCAAGAATTGAATCTCATATTTGACAAATACGGTAAGTGTAATAGAGAGTACTTTGAAGGTGATGAGGTTGTTTTGTAAAAAAAAAAAAATTAAGTACATAGTTTTGAAAAAATTCCATTTGGGGGGGGTACACCATCATATTTCCTTATCAATAGAAGAGACCAGAGATAGTGAAAAGACTGGTTGGAGAGAGACCCGATATTTCCACTGCCCCCACAAAGAGCCTATGGGTTTGGGCTCGGAGACAAGGGCCCAGCATGAGCATGTCTGGCATGCTGGGAGGCACACGGAGGGGGGGGAAGAAAAGATGCACCCCAGGGGCCCAAACAACTTCTTGTGGGAAATACAGCCACAGTTCTCCTTGGAGCAGTGGTCCTCAGCCTTCCTAACGCCATGACCCGTTCATACAGTGTCCTCGTGTTTAGTCTTTCTTTTTGTTGCTACTTCATCACTCTCATTTTGGTACTCTTATGAATCAGCGACCCCTGTGAAAGGGTAATTCGGCCCCCACAAGGGTCATGGCCCACAGGTTGAGAATCTCTGCCTTCGAG